CCCTAAAGTCACCAGAATGGAGGGGCGCAGACAGCAAGGGACCAATGAACAGCTACCAAAAGAAAAGAATGTCCACACCTTTATCTCTCTGGTTCTGCTAGGCATCTGTGGCTGCTCCTATCCTGATCCTTCCCCCACTTGGTCTTACCCAAGAGGGTGGCTCCTGGAGCAGCTGAGTGTCCCGGACTAGAAAGCAATGGATTTCTTACTTATGCCACAAATTCCTCCGGCTGTAAGCCTTCCAACTTTCTAAATATTCCTTTATATGTGGTTCAGAGTTCTGGGATCATCCCCTGAGCCTGCTTGGTAGGGTATTCTGTGTTGTTGCTGGCGGAACTCTTTATTGCACTTCCACCCAACCCACCATCTTGTTTTCAGGAAGCCAGGTCTTTTTTTTTTTTTTTTTTTTTAATAATTTTGAGTTTTGTTTCACATATTCTTCCACTCCATCAAGGATCTTCTATTGTGGTCCCTTTCAGAGCAGTTGGTAGTGGTAGCTGGGCACCATCTAATTCTCCTGATCTCAGAGTTATAGAGACTCATGTTCACATGTTCCATTAGTCTGTTAGACTAATTGATTCCCAGCATCTTCAATCTCATCACTTCTTTCTACATGTACTTTCTGTGCATGGAGAGACCAATAGCTACACTCTTGATCTTTTAATATCCCAGATGCTACACACCAAAGTAGGTGGTAGAACATTATCTTTGTGGACTTTGTTATGCCAATTGACCATGATGTTAGTTGAATATATATTCCATTCTTCCTCCCATACTCATTCAGCATGTGTCTATGTCCATGTATCTCCCTATAGAACACTGTTGTTCCAAGATTGTATCTTTATCACTATTTAATTCTATTCCCTTTAGCCTTTGTATACCTCCATGTGTCATCACCTGTGTTCATCATTCTTCTGCCAACCTCCTTCTTCTTGTATATTGTCCTTCCCCTTCTTGTATATTGCCCCCCCTCCCTGTCACACAAGCTAGCCAGTTTACTGCTCTCCCTTCCCTCCTATCTCTGGCAACCACCATCAAAAAATGTTTCTTTCTTTCAAACTCTTATATATCTGTGGGATATATAAATATGTATTTCCCTCTCTTCCTCCCTTACCCATTCAGCCTATGTCTCAACCCATGTATCTACAGAACATTGTTGTTCCAAGGTTGTGTGTATATCACTATTTACACCTATCCCTTTTAGCCCGTGCATACCTCCCTGTGTCTTCACCTATCTTCATTATTCTTCTGCCACCTTCCCTCTTTTTGTATACTGCCCTCCCTGTCACCCAAACTAACATGAGTCTACCCTCTAGCCAGTGAATTACTCTCGCCTCCCTCCCTCCCACCCCTTATAACCATCAAAGAATGTTTCTTTTCCTCTGGAAACTTTTCCTTAAGTTTTTACAATAACAGTCTCATACAATATTTGTCCTTTTTTGATTGACTAACTTCCCTCAGGAGTCCTGGTGTGGTGCTGAAGATAAAGCTGCAAGGTCAGTTTGAACAGCAAGGTTGGCAGTTCAAACCCACCAGCTGCTCTTTGGAAACCCTAACAAAGTCGCTATGAGTTGGAATCTACTCAAAGGCACTTGAGAACAACAACAATTTCACTCAGCATAATGTCTTCCAGGTTCACATAAGTTATGAGGTGTTTCAAAGATTCATCATTATTCTTCACAGTTGCATAGTATTCCACTGTATGTACCAAAAATTGTTTATCTATTCTTCTGTTGATGGACACTTAGGCTGTCTCCATCTTTTTGCTATTGTGAATAGTGCTGTGTGTGCATATATTGATGTGCATATATTTACTTGGGTCCTAGCTTGTATTTTTTATGGTTACATACTAAGTAGAGACATTGCTGAGTCATAAGGTATTTCTATTTCTAACTTTCTGAGGAAGCCCATACCGTTCTCCAGAGTGGTTGGACTATTTTATAGTGCCACCAGCAATCTAGCGGGGGGATTCAGGTTCTCCATACCCTTGCAGCATTCGTTCTCTCTTTTTTTTTTTTAAGTTTGCTGTTAATGTTGGTGTGAGATGATATCTCATTGTTGTTTAGATTGCATCTTGTGGCACTGTGGGTTAATGTGCTAGACTGCAATGTCGATTTGAACCGCAAGGTCAGTGATTCAAACTCACCAGTTGCACCTCGAAACCGTATACAGTGTGGGTGCGGGTTGGAATGGACTCGATGGCACTTAACAACAACAATGGCTATGGATCATGAACACTTCTTCATATATTTGTTGGCTGCAGGGATGTCTTCCTTGGTGAAGAAATTTAAAATTTTTTGTTAATTTTTTTTTTTTTTTTTAAATAGAGACACAATATGCAGTAGCTCTTAAGTGGCAAATGTGTGTGTACAGACAGTGATGGACTGACTGTACAGTGATACAGAGAGGGATCTCGATTACCTGGGATCATCAGAAAAGGATTTCCTGGAGAAATAGGGTATGAAAGATGGCTCAAGGCTTGAGTATATCAGGCTGATAAAGACAGGAAAACACCTGTTGTCATTGGGGATAATAAGAAAATCTGTGGCAGTAGAAAATAAATTTGGTAATGAGGGGTCATACAGTGTAGGTTCCTGAGTAGCAGCAGAGAGACGCAAGAGAATGCGTTGTTTTAAAATTAAGCTAGTTAACAGCAGTTGCCGCAGTATAGGATTAGGTGAGAGTTAGCGCCTGTAAATGTGGCGCCCACTAGGGGGTGCTGCATCAACACTTGGACTAAGGTGAAAAGAATGCACAGCAGGTAGAACATTCAGACAAAGAGGACGAGTTGGAAAATTCCAAAACTAAAGATATGCAAATATTAACTATATTCTCATTACCGCGTGCTCTACATGTTGGCCTCCTCGCGAAACACAATATTAAGCATTTTAGTACGCCAATGGCACGTGCCACTCTGCCTCTGCCTAAAACGACTACTATTCCCAGGCACCCACGCGCGAGTCCAAGACACTCTTCCTGGGTGCAAGTAGACCTCGCCGCACGGTCTCCTGGGATCTGTAGTTTTGCAGGGTTACTCGGGAGTTGTAGTTTCCGTTCCACAATCGGCTGGGCGAGGCGGCGCCGGCGATTAGAGCAGCTCTGGGTGTTCAGGGGCCAAGATGGCGGCGCGCCGGGGACGGAGAGACGGAGTCGCGCCGCCTCTGGGAGGGAGCCCCGGGCCAGGACCCGGCGGTGGAGTCCGCAGCAGTGGTTGGGGGAGTCGAAGCCAAGCGCCGTATGGAGCCTTGGGCTCTGTGAGTGGCGGGGAGCAGGTGAGAGGCTGGCGGGCGGCCCACGGCTGGCAGCGGAGCGGCGTGTGCCGGGCGGTGACACGTGGACGCTACAGGAAAAGGAGGAAGCGCTATAGAATCGATGCCGGCTGGCCGCGGGAGTCGGGCTGGGCCGGGTGGACCTGGGCCGTTTCCTAGCTGGAGGCGGGGTCCCTATGGACATTCTTAGGGGTCGTCGGAGTAGCAGAGCCGGGTGTCGGAAACCTTATGGGGCAGTGCTAGGTCATGGGACTCAGACTTGAAGACTAAGATTTTGTAAAGATGCCGAATGCTGCATCTTTAACCCAGTGCTACGGTTGCCTTTTTGGAGCCACGTGGGGTGGGGTGGAGGAAACATTTTCCGGAGAACTTGTCGCCTCCCCTCCCCCTCTAGGTGGCCTCGGCACCCACAGGGGTTGCGCTCTTGATGGGGGGGGTGCCGCGGGTCCACGTGGGGGCGGGAAGGGGTTGTCCACGTGGCTCCCGCCCCAAGCTCTTCGGCATCTCCTATCTGCCTAGGAGCCGTACTGCCGGGAACTGGGTGTGTCCCAGTCGGTCCCGCCATCTCCGGCCGAGGCTGGGGCCCCCGGACGGGAAGGGAGGTAGAGGCTGCTAGAGTCAACTTTGCCCAGAGAATTCGAGTTTTTTTTTCTTCTGCTTTGGTCTGCGGCCGCTCTCTACAGGGCATGGTGAAGGACTTTCCATATGTTCTGGGAGTCGGTTCCCTGTGGATGGCGAAGTGTGCTCGGGAGGGTAGAGGGCTGAAGCTGAAGGACTGTGGAATGAGCTTGTGGTGCCTTCTGTCTGGCCGGCTTGGGGTGGAGTGTGAGTCATGGGCACTGGCATTTTGGTTGCCTGCAGTTTTGCTCCATTCGTTACTCAAGGGGAAAGGGGAGTGGCAATATATAACACAGGACAAGCTTCAGTAAAGGAAAGGGATTCTGCTTTCTCTGCTCACTTGTTCCTCTAGTATCTCTTCAGAGGAGACAGCTAAGTCCTGCTCTGTGAACTGACTCATCAGTTGGGTAGTCTGTGTTTAAGGCTCTCTGGAATTTTTTTGCTGCGGATGAGAAAAGTTGGAGACAGTTTAAGAACTATTTTAACAGTTGTTGTTACGTGCCCTCGAGTTGGTTACAATTGGTGATCCTATATAGGGTTTTCGAGGAGCGACTGGTGGGTTAGACTACCGACCTTTTGGTTAGCACTCCGGTACTTATCCTCCGGCGCCACACCATTTATTGGATGGGGCGTTGGGTTCTTTCTATCTGATTCTGTTTGACCTTCAGTTCTCCATACTTGAAAGATGGTACTGTCCCACTCCTCAGTTGAGATCTTAAATGTTCCCACCCAGGGTGGGGTGGGCAGGAATTATTTTGAATTGTTATCTATTTTAACCAACTAAACTGAGCCCTCACTACTTTTTGTTCTTAGGTGGCAGTTGGATTACAGGCTATCAAGTAATGTCAAGTATAGGGGACCAAGCCAGGCCACATAGTGCCCCCTTCCACTTTTCCAGAGGCCATGTCTTGGTGTTGCCTACCTTCTGGGGGGAGAAGCAGGAAGAATGCAAGGTTCAGTTGTGATCCAAGTTAGGTGGCCATTAGGATGTTGGAGAGATTACCCCTCCCTGACAACAGATTGGTGTTTGTGAGCTGGGTAGTTACCACCTATTTATTGAGATATTGTTGCATTGAGGTACAATGGTGAACTGCGCAAACAGTGGTTTGAGGATCTTTTGTTTATATCAGGACAGACATCCAGTTATTTACTGAGGTACAATGGTAAACCACAGAAACATGTTTTTTGCCCTTCAGAATCTTTTGTTTATGTCAGAACAATCAACAAATAGGATGAGTAGGGCAAAAGGAAATACAAGGTATTTGATACTGTATAGTGGGCAACTGCTCCTTGGAACCCTGCTCCTTGGAAACAGGGTCACTGTGGGTCGGAATCAACTCGATGGCACTTAACAACAACTTAGCTACAATGGGCAGTAGTGCAGTAGTAGTTTACTTTGCAGGGTCTGGAAAGGGACAACCAGGTTCTGGTGGAGAAATCTCAGTGCAGATAGAACCCCATGAGTCATATTTTGAAGAGTTTACACTTGATAATTAGGAGCTCTGGTAGCGTAGTGGTTACGAATCGGGCTGCGAACCTTAAGGTCAGCGGTTCGAAACTACCAGTCGCTCCGCGGGAGAAAGATGAGGCTTTCTACTCCCGTAAAGATTTACACCCTCGGAAACCCTGTACAGGGTCGCTATGGGTCGGACCCGACTCGATGGCACTTAACAACAACAACAACAATTAGAACAATTAACTAGGATGCCACTGAAAGGATTTAAGAAACGTGATCAGATGTATATTTAAGGACGTTTCTGGTTTGGAACCCTCTGTTATTCAGTGCCATCGGGTTAGTTCCAGCTGTTTCCGAGGCTTTAAATCTTCATTGGAGCAGAAAGTTTCGAAGTCCAGTACTTATTATATGGAGCTTTGTAGGAACAAATTTGGGCGTAGGAAACCCAGTGGACTGATTGTTGAAACTAGAGATACTGGTGACAGAAGTGTGAACTCAGATTGGACCATTTATGGATTTGTGCTGTTTGAGAATTGTGAGATGGGTGACAAATAGGATGAGTAGAGCAAAAGGAAATACAAGGTATTTGATACTGTATAGTGGGCAACTGCTCTTTGGAACCCTGCTCCTTGGAAACAGGGTCACTGTGGGTCGGAATCAACTCGATGGCACTTAACAACAACTTAACTACAATGGGCAGTAGTTAAGGGCTCTAGTACCTTCCTGATAGTGGTGATGAGTTCCTGGAGTTGGGCATTGCCTTGAAAAGTCTGGCCTGGTGCCTGGGACTCAGATTGGTAGGTGCAGCCTCCTTGTTCACACAGGAGTGTTTTGCTGAGCCAGATGCTATTCAGCTGTTGGTTGTAATTACAGGATTGTGAAGGCCTGGGAGGGGTTAGTGCCTCAAACTTGCCACCCTCTGCTTCATTTCTGGGTTTGGTCTCTTAAAGTATTCTATCCAACCTTTCCTCTCCCTAGGCATCTGAACTCAGCTTGTTAACGTGCGGAGAGTGTATATGCATGTGTGTAATGGTAGTGGGGGCTAGGGCATGTTTGAGCCCACCTGTTGCTTTTTTTATTCTTTGGGAAGGGGTGCAGTTTCCCTTGCTATAGAAGGTGGTGGAGAGCTAGCCTTGGTCTGATTCTTTTGGTATCCGTTTCCTACAGTGGAGATAGCCATGGCTCTGGCCTCAGCAGCCTTATTGCAGCCACTTCTGACTTTGCCCACACCCACACTCATGACTGGCCTGGGTGGAGGTTGCCTGACTAGGCTGAAGATTTTAATTCTCAGAGGTCTGTGGGGTGGGGCCTCTCCATCTGCTGAACCAGGTTTTCTAATTTGCTCTTACCTTCTCTTGAGACACATTAAGATGTTGGGTGACACACTGGAGGACCTTCAAAGTAAAATTGAGATAGGTGTGAATACGAACTGTGTATAAGAGACATGGGTGTCCAGGAAGTTTAAGCCCTTTCAGGAACAAAGAAAAATGTAATAAAATACAAAGGGACTTGGAATATAGCTATAGGAGATTATTTTGAGTTCGGGGGACAGCATGTCATCACCAGAAGAGTGAGTGGTACAGGAAAATATGTGAATTCAAGCAGGTGAGAAGAGATCAACATGAGCAGGGGAATCTTGGGGTGTCTTCTAAAAGAAGGTGGGGTTTGAGCTAAGAGAAGAGAAGCCTAAGTAGGATTTGAGGGAGGTAAGGTTTAGCTGAAACTGTCTTTGTAGTCCTCCTTTGCTTTGCTGTGCCTCTAGGACGGCATCACCACTGCCAGCAGGTGACTTCTGCGGAATGATATTTTTTATTGTTTTACTCTCCGGTTTAATAATCTCTTTTGGATCCACCTGTTTATGGATGAAGTGCAAACTTTGTTTTCTGCTCAGAAGGTCCTTGAAGACTGTCACGCTAGTTAGAACTTTTGCTCATGAGTTGTACTTTATTTCCAGGTAGCCCAGAGGTTTGGTGATGGTGGGGCTGCTGCTGAGCTTGGGCTCACTGAGCACCTGGTTTATGGAGCATATCAGACAGCTGCCCTAAGATGGCCTATGCCCTGCAGTCCTCAGGGTGCCTTCTGACTCCCCACTTTTGCCCTAGGTGCTGCTGCACGAAGAAGGAGATGATTCTGGCTTTGTCAGTCTGTCTCGTTTGGGCCCTTCTCTGAAAGACAAAGACCTGGAGATGGAGGAGCTGATGTTGCAGGATGAGACATTGCTGGGGACCATGCAGAGCTATATGGATGCCTCCATTATTTCCTTCATTGAGGATTTTGGGAGCCTTGGAGAGGTGAGCTGGGCGTGCTGTGGGAGGCTAGAGCTCAATGTTTGGAGCTGCTTATAGCATGGTTCTGTTATCTCTGGACCTGGGCTCCTGAGTGCCCAACCTGACTCCTTGGAGAGTTTTTTTTTGTCTCTTATGTGGGGGTTGGGGTACCAGATTATGTCCCATGTAAGGCTGCTCTGGCAGGCTTGGAATATAGCCCAAGGCCTTTCTCACTGCCTGTGCCTCTGGCCTACATGTCCAAAAAGTTTTGATTTTTGTCATTGAGCTCACTTCCAGCCTAGTCAAGTCTGCTGAGCATCCATCCACATCCTACTCGATGGTGCACGTAGTAGGGGTGATATGAAATCCATCCACACTTAAGACTTGTCATGCACTCATATGTTTCTAAATAGCCAGGAGGTCATTAGAAAAGGGGACCAATCACTAATAGAGAATTCTTTGTGACTATCACATCCTTCTGAACATGGAACTATAATTCTGAAGACATTCCCAGAGTGCAAAGTTGCTTTTATTACTGAAATGAGAAGCTGACAGCATCAGTCAGGGGTCCCCAGCTCAAAAGCTATCTGGATGGAGCTAGAAAACTTTTCTGTGCATTCCCCGTTGTGTTCCATGAAGGGCAAGCTAGCACTCTGAAGATGGAGGATTCTTCTATGCATGCCTCAGCAGAGCATAGTAGAAAAGGCACCCTAAGGTCCTTTCTTCAGCTGATTTTATACCCCAAATATTACATGACCACCCTCTACACTGGTTGCAGTGTGTGGTAGTCAGACATAACGGCTGCCAACCTACAATTTGTTGTTGTTATGTGCCATGGAGTCAGTTCCCACTCATAGCGACCCTGCATAGAGTTTCCGAGGCTATAAATCTTTACGGGAGCAGAAGGCCTCATCTTTCTCCCACGGAACAGCTGGTAGTTTCGAACTGCTGACCATGAGATTAGCAGTAACCACTACACTATCAGAGCTGCCAACCTATATTAGCATTTCTTTCACACTGCTGACAAACAGGCCTTGGGGGGAGTAGGGGGGAGGGGCTGGTCCGAGGCCTATAATTACATCATGCCCCCCTTCTCCCTTCCTGAGACTTGTTGCCAAGGTGATGAGTTGGGTGCTCCCAACTCTTGAAATTTTTTTTTTTATTTAAAGTTTTTATTGTGAATTGAGTAATAGTTTACATGGGAGAACATTGGTTTTACACTCATTGCAATGATTACAATCTCCTCCATGCATCATCATTTGACAGTATTTGCTTCGAGTCGCAATTAGTCATGATTTTCACAATGTTAAGTGTTCCTGTTCAGGAGCACGGTATAGTCTTCCATTTTTGTAAGTCTCTTTTGGTTTCTTATATAGTAGAGTTTTATAGTTTTCTTTGTATAGGTGCTTTGTTTCTTTGGCTACATTTATTCCTAAATATTTCTTCCTTTGGGCGGTTGATTGTAAATGATATTGCTTTCCTAATTCCTTTTCGGCACTGTTATTAGTATATAGGAATCCGACTGATTTTTGTATGTTGATCTTGTACCTTTCCAATTAGTTCAAGTAGTTTTTTTTTTGCCGAGTCTTTGGGGTTTTCTCTGTGTAGGATCATATTGTCTGCAACTAGGGAGAGTTTTACTTCCTCTTTGCCAGTTTGGATGCCTTTGATTTCCCTATCTTACCTTATAGCTCTGGCTCTTGAATATTTTTTAAGTGTTGCCTGGATGTTTTAGAAAAAAAACACAAACACCTGGATTTCCAAAGGAGCTCTGGCAGTGTTGCAGGTTGCGAGTTGGGCTGTTAACTTCAAGGTCAGCAGTTTGGATCTGTCAGCTGCTCTACAAGACAAAGACTAAGCGTTCTACCTCCGTAAACATTTACAATCTCAGAAGCTCTATACAAGGTTGCTATGAGTTGGGACCAAACCACAGCACATAAATACCACCACTACCACCTTGATTTCCAAGGGCCATTTTTAGAAACCAGAGACATAAGGTCCCACAAGGCAGGTCTCAGATGACTCTAGTGGGTGGTAAATGAGATTGGAATCTGTACCACCTGGTCTCTCTTTCCTTCTCTCTGGTAAATTGAACTGCGTCTTGGAGACATGATTCTTTTGGTGTCCAGTGCATCTCAATGGTCTAGTAATTAGTTAACTTGGTGTGTTGATGGGACCTTCCTTCCTGTTGTCTTTTTGGAGCAGAGCAGGTTATCTCTGGAGGATCAGAATGAAGTGTCGCTGCTCACAGCCTTGACTGAGATCTTGGACAATGCAGATTCAGAGAACCTATCTCCGTTTGACAGCATACCTGACTCAGAGCTGCTTGTGTCACCTCGAGAAGGCACTTCTGTGAGTGTCATCAAAGGGGAGGGATGTGTGGTTGGTACTAAGCTTTGTGGGCCGGCACATGTTACTGTGAAGTAAATGCTAATCTCAGATCTTTTCTCCTTTTTAGCTGCACAAGCTACTTACCCTGTCTCGGACACCTCCAGATCGCGACCTCATCACCCCGGTTGACCCATTGGGACCTACCACAGGCAGTAGCAGAGTAAGTAAGCCTGACCTGAGGTTTCAGGGACTCTCAAGAGGTTGAAGTGTGTGGGAGCAGGTCTGAAAAAAATAGTTATCCTGGAGAAAACTCCTTAAGTTTCTCTTCTTTCCTGCAGGTCGATATATCTGTCACAGATTCTTGGGATTTCTCCCCACCTTCTTTCTTGGAGACCTCCTCTCCCAAGCTTCCTAGTTGGAGGACCCCGAGATCACGACCCCGTTGGGGCCAGTCTCCCCCTCCACAACAGCGTAGTGATGGAGAAGAGGAGGAGGAGGCAGCTAGCTTCGGTAGCCAGGTGCTTGCTGGGGAGCTTGACAACTCTGAGAGTAGCGTCCCAGACTTCCCCATGCACCTTGCCTGCCCTGAGGAGGAAGATGAGACAGCAGCAACAGAGATGGCAGTGTTGGCAGCTGGTGACGAGAGCATCTCCTCCCTGAGTGAGTTGGTACGAGCCATGCATCCATACTGTCTGCCCAACCTCACCCACCTGATGTCATTTGAGGATGAGCTTCAGGAACATCTGGATGACTTGACTCTACCTGAGAATTGTGTGGTATTGGAGATTGTTGGCCAAGCGGCTACAGCTGGTGATGAACTGGAGATCCCAGTTGTAGTGCGGCAGATCCCTACTGGGCCACAGCCTATGCTCATGGATGGCTCACTAGAGGCTACTCCAGCCTTGCAGTTGCTTGTGTCCACACCGGAATCTGAGACGGAGACTGTTGTGTCTCCGGAAGAGGAAAAGCTGGAATCAACATGCATGTTGGAGTCCAGAGAGGTCATGGAGCCAGTGGTGCCCAAGAAACCTCAAAATTCACCTGCAAATGCAGTGCTTGGTTCCCAAAGAGCTCGAAGAGGCAGGAAGAAGAAGAACAAAGAGGAGCCAGCAGCCTATGTGGAAGGCTGTGCCAGGAGGCTGAGGTCATCATCTCGTAGTCAGTCTACCATGGTTTTTGAGGTCACCTCTCAGGCAGGCAGCTTGCAGGAGAAGTCTCAGGAGGAACATCAAAGAGAGCTTGGTCCTCCCAGAGGTAGAGGGAAGCCCCGGGCTTGGGCTCGGGCCTGGGCAACTGCCTTGGAAAAGCCCAGCTCTGCAAACTTGGAACGTGGTGCTGGACAAGTTAGCCCTGCTAAAGATGAACTTTTAGATCTCTACCCCAAGGTGGTTGACACCGTCCAAACCAAACCTGTTCCAGTCCCGTTCTCATTAGTTGACTCTGCTCAAGCTGACTGCATGCCAGTTGACTCTGTTGAATCTAATCCCACTGCAATAGAACCCTTTCTAGCTGACCCTGTAGCTGTTGACCCTGCTTTGGTTGACCCTAGTTCAGCCAACTCAGAACTAGTGGACCCTCTCCCAGCTGACCAAGCTCTAATTGAGCCTGTTTTGGCTGACTCAGCAGTCATCGATCCTACAGTGGTGGCTCCCATCTCAGATGATTTGCCACCAGTTGACCCTGTTCCTGTCAACCCAGCACCACTTGACCCTGTTCCTAATGACCTTGCTCCAGTTAAACCTGTGCTAGTTAGGCCTAGGCCAACTGATCCCAGGCGTGGTGCAGTGTCATCAGCTCAGGGGAACCCAGCTTCCCAGTTGCTCTTGGAATTGGAGTCCTCAGATCACCCAAAAGCCATCATCCCTGAAGTCAAGGAGGTTGGAAGTAGTATTAATGCCACAACCCAGGAAGCTAGACCTCGACCTCTCAGCCTATCTGAGTACTGGCGACGAAGACAGCAACGCCAAACAGACACAGAAGAGAGGAGTCCCCAGCCTCCAGCTGGGAAGTGGCCCAGTCTCCCAGAGACCCCCACAGGGTTGGCAGACATCCCTTGTCTTGTCATTCCACCAGCCCCAGCCAAGAAGATGGCTGTGCAGAGAAGTCCTGAAGCTCCCCTTGAGGTTCCCGCTGAGGCTTGTGTTGTGCCTGTGGGTCCCAGCCTTATTACTCCCACTTCTGAACTGTCTTCAAGCAAACCTGTGACCTCAGTTCCCACTGAACAGGTGCCATCCCAAGAGATGCCACTGCCTGTAAGGCCTCCACCTCCTGTGCAAACCGTATCTCCTGTCAGGCCCATGCCTCCCATAATGCCTACTCTGCCTTTTCCCCCAGGTGGGCTAAGCATGTCCCTCATGCTGCCCCTTCCTCCAAGTGGGCAAGGGGTCCCCAGCTTGCCCCCACCACCTTTGCAACCTCCTAGTCTTCCAATGCCTATGGGGCCAGTGCCACCTGATCCCTACAGCCATTATGCTTCTGTGCCACCCTGGCCTTGTTATCCACCTGTGCCCCCTTCTGGATATCCTTGCCTGCCCCCACCACCACCGGGACCCCTTATATCTGGTACTCCTGGCTCCTATGCTGTGCCCCCCACTTGCAATGTGCCTTGGGCACCCCCTCCTGCCCCAGTCCCACCTTACAGTTCCACCTGTTCCTATGGGCCATTGGGATGGGGCTCAGGGCCGCAGCATCCTCCGTTCTGGCCTAATGTGCCTCCACCTCCTTTACCTCCAACTTCTGTTGGGAGAGTTGGTCCTCCACCTAAAGTAGAGCCCAGTGTCATCCCAGCTGGCCTTCCTGAAAGTGTACTTCCTATGGCTGTGGCTCCTCCAGTCAGTCTTGGGCCTACTGGTCAGGGAGTTCCACAGATAGAACCCACCAAGGTAGATGTCAAGCCAGTACCTACATCTCCCCATGTGAAGCACAAGGTGTCTTTCCCGGTGCGAAGCCCCCAGACCCAGGCTCCTCCCTCTCTGCCTGCTGAGAGTGTGGCTGTTGAGGAGGTTGTATCAGAGAAGCCAAAACCTGAGACCCAGGAGACGAGCCACCAGGAGAAGCTTCCCTCTTCTTGCAAGGCTGTGCTTACTACAAAGCAGAGCACTGGCCCCAAGTTGCCTGTTGTCCACCCAGCATGTCTAAGGAAGCTATCCTTCCTGCCTACCCCATGTACCCAGGGCCCTGAGGACGTGGTACAGGCTTTCATCAGTGAGATTGGTGAGTGCCACACAATTTAGTTGGTGTGAAGAAGGGTTCAGGGCTTGGATGGAGAGTAATTTCCATAAAACAGGGTAAATCACCTTAATGGACCTTGGGTAGACTTCTTCGGAGGGTTTCCAGGAGACATAGCTTTTGGTTTGTTGCATCTTTCCTCCTATCATGGTTTCATTTAGTATAGTGGGCAGGGATACATAGTGGGGAAGGGAGATCATTTAGGACTTCCTGAGACTTATGTAATTGGACTTGGTTTCCTATCCTGTGTTGTATACCTCCATAGGGATTGAGGCATCGGACCTGTCCAGTCTTTTGGAGCAGTTTGAGAAATCAGAAGGTGAGGAAACCTGGGTAGCTTCATTCCAACCCTTTTGACTGCTACTTTTTTTGGGGCCAGCCCTGTGATTACTTAAATTGGGATGAGGGGGGGAAATATTTTCAGCCACTAGAGTGGCTCCAGAAGCCTGGTGTGGTGCTATAGGATAAGCACTGTACTGCTAACTTCAAGGTCAATGGTTCAAACCCACTAACTGCTCCTTGGAAACCCTATACATCAGGGATGGGGAACCTCCTTTCTGCCAGAATTTGTAACATCATTTGCGGACCATACAAAATTATCAACTTAAAAATTAGCTTGCTATATTTGGTCAAATATTTAAGTAGCTCAATCCTGATGTGATGTGAGGATCTGTAGTTGCCTTGGCAGGGCCAGACCAAATGATTTTGTGCATCTTATATGGCCTGTGGGTCAGATGTTCCCCACCCCTGCTATACAGGGACGCTATGAGTCCTACTCAACGGCACTTAACAATAGAGCCCCAAATTGGAATTGGCAGGTGGGATTTACCTGTAATACAATCTAAGCTCAAGTGGGTTGGGGTTGTTGGGGACATCTAGAGGGATGAGAAGGAGTCCTGGTGTGGTGCTTCCAGATAATGCGCTAGACTGCAAGGTTGGTTTGAACTGTAAGGGTTGGCAGTTCAGACTCACCAGCAACTCCTTGGAAATCCTATAAGGGTCATGATGAGATGGAACCGACTCAACGGCACTTAACAAGAGGGCCTCAAAAGATAGAATTTCAAGGAGAATGTGTGTATCACTGTTAACAGGCATAAAGTGCATGGAAGGGTCATATATGTTAGGAAGGCAGTAAATAGCTCAGCTTTCTAGGTATAAGGCATGGCTGTAGACACTGTGAAGGAAGGATGCTGTGTCTTCTCTAGGAGCTTGTGATCTAACTGGGGAGAAAAATAGGCAGAATTGACAACTGAATTGGTAGAAGGTATCTAGAGTACAAGGCAAAATATGAATGTAGGACAGAAGTAGTCTTAAGAAATTAGTGAGTGTCAGAATTCACTGTGGAATCTAGTTGTTTCTGAGAACAGATTTCTCTTAGAAGAGCTCAGTAGAAGGTATGCAGGGAAAGTGGATGGTCCATCTTTGGGTCTCCAAGCCAGCCTTCTTGCACCTAAGTCTGGAACATTTGGTTGAGCTATTAATTACTATGGTTTCTTTGCAGCCAAAAAGGAGAGCCTTTCCCTGGCTCCTGTTGACAGCTTGACTGTGGGAAACTCAAGGTAAGTATAGAGGCATGTGTCTAAGTTACCCTACATCTGTTGGTCAGCCAACCGGTATTCCAGGACTGTTGAATGGATGCTTATGTTGCAAGGATGATTAATTAGTCTGCTCTAGAGGCTTTCTTCTTGCTTTACCCATCCCCTACTTTGCCCAGTGCTGGACACTGTATTGGGTATCATTGTGAGTGGGTGTGTACTGTCTTCCAGCTCATTTCAGTCCAGGAATCCAAATATCCTTAGGATTTCTTTCCTTCATTTAATAATTTCAGTGCTAGTCAAGGTATAAGAGGCAGTGGAGGGAAGATGTCCAAGGCTAGGGGCTAGGTCTTCCCTGACTCCTTGGAGGCTACAAGTGCTGAACACTTTCTTGTTCCCCAGTGCACTGAAGTCTTTTTTTTCCCCATGCTTATGACACCCCTTGCTATTCTTTATGCATGTTCCCTTCCACATTTAGCGTAAGGTTGATTTGAGCTGGGTAGGCAAGGCTCCTGACTTGAAAGAGTTGTGGGGTATTCAAGGTCATAGGCAGCCTGCCTCGTAGAATTAGGCTGGGCCAAGTTGAAATCCAACCTATAGTTCAGTCACTGTGACCCCTCTCATGTTGGAGGAGAATGCTGAGATCGGTTTGTATATCCCATGACCTCTCTACACTCAACCCTTTCCCACTGCTGTGTGAGGAGAGCTGATGTACAAGATATTGAGGAGACAATGAACCAGGCTTTCCCTTTTCCCCCCCACCAGCAGCGTTGACACTCCCCAGGAGAAGAGGCCCCTAGACCGGTTACAAGCCCCAGAACTGGCCAACGTGGCAGGTGGGTTCTGGGTGGGGAACTGCCTTTGTGTAGTTCATGCAGCAAACATTTTCAGAGCCTGCTCAGCACCAAGTATGGATGGGTAGGTGTTGGGGATCCAGAGATCTCCATCTTTGAGGTGTGCCCAATCTAGCGGCCAGATGTGTACACAGATGAGCATGTTGAGTGCTAAAGAAGATTGGTTCACAGTGGGGATAGATGAGCAGTTAGAGAAGGATTATATGATGGGCTTTCAGAAATTCCATTATCTTTTAAATTTCATTTTCCAGGAATTTTATGAAGGCCCCTTGTATAGAAGATAATCACCCAAACTGATTAGGTTGAATTAGTGGATAGGGTATTCAAGATAAAGGAAGCAACTTGAGTAAACTTGAAAAAGAAACACCTTGGTGTGTTGGGGTGTGTGTGAATAGTTTGTTTTGGCTGAAGTATAGTGATTGGCAGAGGTAAAGCCCTTTAAGTGGCAGATAGATCAGTTATGGGGATCTTGAATGTCTTGTTGATCTGTTTAGACTATCCTGTGTATGGTAAGAAGCAATTTAAAAAGCTTTACCAGATTGGTTTTGGGGAGCTCCCTTTAGCAGGAATGTAGATGATAAGGTGGATGAATGTGAAACCAGAACCTGGAAGACCATTGGAAGATAATTGCATGAGTTCAGGAAAAATGCATTCCAGAAGTTGGATAGTAATGGATGGAAGGGGTAGACCTAAAAATGGAGAGAACCTGGTCATCAGCTAGGTTTGGGAGTTGAGGATGAAGAGTTCAGGAAGGACCCTAGAAGTTGTGTTGTTATTGCTGGTCCCTGATACGAAAACACAGGGTAGTGGGAGAAATTGGGCTGTTGACCATGCTTCTTGTACTTTTTGAGATGAAATGGCGGTCTTTGGAACCTATTTGCTCAGTATTTGGAACTGTAGAATGGGATCTCACCCTGCTGTCTCCATCCCCCTCCCCCCGCCTCCCACAGGACTTACCCCTCCAGCTACCCCTCCCCACCAGTTATGGAAGCCCCTGGCGGCTGTCTCACTGCTGGCCAAAGCCAAATCTCCTAAGTCCACCATCCAGGAGGGGATTCTGAAGCCTGAAGGAATTACAGAGGTCAAACATCCAGCTGCAGCCCGCCTCCAAGAAGGGGTCCATGGCCCTAGTCCAGTCCATGTGGGCTCTGGGGACCATGACTATTGTGTCCGGAGCAGGACCCCACAGAAAAAGATGCCTGCCTTAGTCATTCCAGAGGTGGGTTCTAGATGGAACATCAAACGTCATCAGGACATCACCATCAAGCCTGTGTTGTCCCTGGGCCTAGCTGCCCCTGCTCCCCCCCACACTGCTGCCTCCCAGGAGCCACTGGATCACAGGACTAGCAATGAACAGGCAGATCCTCCAGCCCCTTACCTTGCCCCAACCACTTTGTTGTCCCCTGAGGCCTCACCCTGTCGGAATGACACAAACACTAGGACTTCCCCTGCATCCTCAGTCAAGCAGCGATCAGTGCGCTGTTACCGCAAAGCCTGCAGGTCACCCAGCCCCCAAAGCCAATGTTGGCAGGGCCGCCGAGGCAGCAGCAGCCGTTCTGTCAGCTCTGGGTCCAACGGGGCCAGCGAAGCATCTTCCTCCTCATCGTCGTCTTCCTCATCCCGATCCCGGTCCAGGTCCCTCTCCCCCCCACACAAGAGGTGGCGAAGGTGAGCGCTTGGTGGTCGGTTAGATCCTTTGCAGTTAGGAGCTTCAGGAACTCTTCTCTGGTTTCCTTTGAAAACTTTATACATTGTGTTTGACTCAGACATTTAGGTACACCTTTGGGTTTTGTCTTCTTTCTTGGGTGGTTGATGGCGACAGGCAGTGGGAAGAAAGTTTTGATCCTCTGTTGGAGTTTGGGGTATACCAGAGGTCCTCTGCTTCCTTGAGACCTGCCCTAGGGATACTCCTAGGGTTTGACTTTGACCATGTTGATTCTTTTACATACTATATTGGACTTCATTGATGACATTTTCTTGGTGATATGTGGGATAATGGAGTCCTGGTGTGGCGCTGTGGGTTAATGTGCTGAACTGCAAAGTTGTTTTGAACTATAAGGTCAGCAGTTCAAGCTCACCAGCCGTTCCTTGGAAACCCTATACAGGGTCATTATGGGTTGGAACTGGCTCAACGGCATTTAACAACACAATAACATGTGGGCTAATTGTTAAATTAGAAACAGTCTTTTTAATCACCTATTGAGGGAAGATTCTGGGGCAGTTCCTTTGGGAGTCACTGTAGTCTTTATCTATTTCATGGCAGCAATTTCACTCCTAATATTGGACCTAAATTTTCCCCTGAATGAAGAACTCTTGGTTTTGACAGTTTGAATGCCTTCAGAAATGGCCCCTGCTCTGGTCTCTCACAGTCCCTCCCTGTTATTCTGTGGTTGTAGCAGTTCTATGAGACATGGGACAGGAGCAACAGGCCACAGACACAGCTTTGGTCTCAGTACCACAGATAGCTGGCCATGAGACGTACGGCTCCGCCCTTACTCTGGGTCTTTTGTGTTTTTCTTATTTCTGATTCTTAGTATTTTTAATTGTACAATTGAAAATAGGATCTTTGTCCAAACATTTCAGATGTATCTAAAGTTCCTGTGAAGAGCCTTAGTGTTCATCCAACAAGAAAAAGTGCTCCTCTAGACATCTTTTTGCTCTGCTTTATCTCTGGTCTTGGGTCTCCTGAAAGGGAGGCAGAACTGGTGCTGGGGTAGTCCTAGCATTCCTGCATGCCCCTTTATTCTCCAGGTCCAGCTGTAGTTCCTCTGGACGCTCACGAAGATGTGCTTCTTCCTCCTCATCCTCCTCGTCTTCCTCATCCTCATCCAGTTCTCGAAGTCGTTCCCGCTCCCTATCTCCTCACCGGAGAAGTGACAGGAGGTGGCGGTGAGCATGTGCACCTGGGATGCAGGCACTGGAGAACTCTGAGTCTTGAGTGGTCTTGGGTTTGGGGAGCTAATGGCACCTCTTCCTCCTGTCAGGTACAACGCTTACCATTCACATGACTATTCCCAAAGGCAGAGAGTGCTGCAGAAGGAGCGTGCAATAGTGAGTAGTGGAACAGGTCACGGAAGGAGGGCTTCCCCCCTGAGCCATGGGCTGTAAGAGTCAACTGCTGCTATGCTTCTGGCTCATGCTGGGTCTGTTTTCCTTGCTCCAACATAGGAAGAGAGAAGGGTGGTCTTTATTGGGAAGATACCTGGCCGCATGACTCGGTCAGAGCTGAAACAGAGGTTCTCTGTTTTTGGTGAGATTGAGGAGTGTACCATCCACTTCCGTGTCCAAGGGTAAGCCTGGGCCCCATTCAGCTACTGATGCTGCTTCATCTTTCCCCTTTGATCTGGTGTACTGGGCATTGGAGAACACTTTCATTTCTATAATCAGAGGGCTGGCCATTTGGGAAATGGGAAGAACCACCCCAGACCCTCTCTGTACCCAGAGCTATTGTCTGTCACCCCTCCATGATATGTGTCCAAATGGCTACCTCAGCCTTTGCCTCACCTTCCTCACTAGTGACAACTATGGCTTCGTCACTTACCGCTATGCTGAGGAGGCATTTGCAGCTATTGAGAGTGGTCACAAGCTTCGGCAGGCAGACGAACAACCTTTTGATCTCTGCTTTGGAGGTCGCAGGCAATTCTGCAAGAGAAGCTATTCTGATCTTGGTGAGTGAAGGGCCTGAGGTTTGGGCGTACTTTATCCCCTCCCTAGAAGGGTTCTCAAACCTTTGAGTGTGGGGCTAGGCAGGCGTGTCTTCATCTGACATATGAAGAACCTAAGGGGTAGAACGAGAGAAAAAAAGGGGGGCTCTTGAGTGTCTTGGACTTAAAATCAGGGCAATTTTAGTTTCATTCATTATTGGGATGGCTAGCTATTTGAGAACCGTATAGTTGGGAAGTGGTGGTCCAAGGCCTCTGATCCTTGACATTTGGTCTTTTTCTATAGACTCCAACCGGGAAGACTTTGACCCTGCTCCTGTAAAGAGCAAATTTGATTCTCTTGACTTTGACACATTGTTGAAACAGGCCCAGAAGAACCTCCGGAGGTAACCCTGGGCTCTCCTTCCCCTTGTTCTTTGGAGGTGCCCAACCTTCTCCACCCCTTTCCCCAACTCTAGGGGAGAGAGCTGCTAGTGAGGAGATGACTGTTTTATAAAGAAATGGAAAAAAGTGAAATAAAAAAAAAAAAATGTGTAAAATCAGATTTTTTAAGGGGTATTTGTTTTTTTATAACAGGTATTGAAACAAGATAATTTGCATTCTTATGTAAGATGGGTGGGGCTTGAGGGGCTCCCTTGGTGTTTGGAAAATCTAAGTCACTATGCAGACTAATAAACATGAATTACAGAGAACGCCCACATGTGATTGTGCTTCTTTCTATGGTGTTACTGCCAAACAGACTCACTTTTCGTCTCTGAACCTTTATCTGGTCAGGTACATAATTCGACTGGCCTTGAAACTTGACTCCTCAAGTGTGTTATTTATGAAATCATTTACTTCTGACAGTTATTCTCACGCTTTAAAGGTTTAGTATTTCAATCATCTTGGGATTTTTTTAGAGTGCAGATTCTAAATAACTTCATCCTTTTGGAGTTGGGACCGAGATTCTAAATTTCTAACAAGAGGTGTTGCAGCAAGGATATAGGGGAAGCTCACACTTGTTCAAATAAAGGTTCTCTAAATTGGGACTCTTAAGCTTATGTACCACCTCAGTGTTGTTCATTTTAGCTTGAGCACAATCCTTGGCACATAACAGGCTATCGTTAGGTACTATCGAGTTGGTTCCAACTCCTGGTGACCCTACACAACAGAATGAAACACTGCCTGGTCCTGTGCCAGCCTCTCAATTGTTGCGTCCATTGCTGCTCCCACAGTGCCAATCTTCTTGAAGTCTTCCTCTTTAGCTGACCCTCCACTTTACCAAGTATAATGTCCTTCTCCTAGGGTTGGTCCCTATTGATTATAGGTCTGAAGTATGAGAAGTTTCACCATCCTTGCATCTAAGTATTCTGGCTGTACTTCCAACATAGACTTATTTGTTCTTGCAGTCCATGGTATTTTTATTATTTTTCAACACCACAGCTCAAATATATCAATTCTTACATGCATTGTCCAACTTTCACATGTATGTGAAACAACTGAAAGTACCATGGCTTAGGTCAAATGTACCTCAGCCCTCAAACTGGTATCTTTGTTCTTGAACACTTTAAAAGAGGTCTTGTGCACACATTTTCCTAATGCAATGTTTGATTTCTTGACTGCTGCTTCCAAAAATGTCGATTGTGATCCAAGCAAGTCTTTGACAACTTGAAATTTTTCTCCATTTATAATGATGTTATTTATTAGTCCAGTAGTGAGAATTGTTTTCTTTACACTGAGGTGCAATCCATACTGAAGATCTTTGATCTTTATTAGTAAATATTTTAAGTCTTCTTTGCCTCTAGCAAGCAAGGTTGTATCATCTGCATATCACAGGCTTAATGAATCTTTTTCCAATCCTGATGCTATGCTTTTAGAACTCACTTTCTCAGATTATTTGCTCAGGATAGATTGAATACCCATTCTTTACAATGCTGTAGTTGATCATGATCCAAAGTCAAAAGCCATTGTGTAAGTCAGTAAAGCACTAGTAAGTATCTTTCTGGTAGTCTCTGCTTTGAGCCAAGATCCATCTGATGTCAGCTATGATATCCCTAGGTCCATGTCCTCTTCTGAATCTGGCTTGAGTTTTCTGGTAGTTCTCTGTTGGTGCATTGTTGCAGTTGTTACTGAATTATCTTTACCAAAATTTTAACTTGTATGTGTTATTAATGATACTGTTTGATGATTTCCACATTCCAGTGGGTCACGACCTCTCTTTGGAATGGACAGAATCATGGATCTCTTCCAATCAATTGGCCAGTTAGCTAGCTAGCTTCCAAATTTCTTGGCATAGATGAATGATTGCTTCCAGTGCTGCATCAGTTTGTTGAAAGATTTCAATTTGTAGTCTTGTCAATTCCATGAGTCTTGTTTTTTTGCCAATATACAACAAGTAGTCATGTATAAAGAATGTATGTATGGGAACACCTCTGGGGAAGATAGAGCTACTGGGGTTTTATCTAGTGAAAGGGAATGTCCCTTAATTTTTATCCATCCTGTCGAATCGGTCCTGACTCAGCGACCCTGTATAGGGTTTCCAAGGAGCAGCTGGTGAATTTGAAATGCCAAACCAACATTGCAATGCTTATCCTACAGCACCACATCCCTTGAAGGGGATGCATTAAAGTAAATAGTCAAGGGATGTTAAGTGCCAACTTAACAACAACAAAAGTTCTAACTCATAGTGACCCTGTATAGGGTCTTCCAGGAATATCTGGTGGGTTTGAACTGCTGACCTTGTGGTTCAAGTCCACTGCTGATCCTACAGTGCCACACCAAGTCTAGTCAAGGGGTACTTTATTGGATTGAAGGAATTGCTAGTGTGCCACTGTAAGAAAAGCTTGGCAAGTTTTGTTGTTCCATCTCACTAGCCACTCCTTGGAAACCCTATACTAGGTAGCTATGAGTCAGGAAGGTACTTATCAATATGAATTGATGGAGTCCTGATGTGGTGCTGCAGGATAATGCACTGGACCACAAGAAAGACTTGAAACACAAGGTCAATGGTTCAAACCCACCAGCCCCTACTCAGAAACCCTATGCAGGGTTGCTGGGTTGGAACTAACTTGACCACACTTAACAACACAATGTGAATTGAAATATGACAGAAGTATGTATTTTTTTGGCAGATTTGGGCATTGATACTGGTCTTACTCATGACAAAGGGAAAGCTTCCCTAGTCCTCCCACAGTTGACAGTGTGAACTTTAATCCAAAAGGAACAAAGTTTAATTTCAGGACTAGGGATTGAAGGAATTGCTTTGTTTCAGAGATTTGGTACACTACCCTTTTTCCTTCATGAAGCTGACCAAAAGCTAAATAATTTGGAGGTGAGAGGCTTGTGTGTTATGAATATGTGGGTGGTGCAGGGGCAAGTCATGACGGACAATTTTGGGGATCAGTACCTTCACCACCATAGATAACTTGAACCTGTGCTGCAGAAATGGGAGACTGGAGGTGGTGATGGTGTGTAACTTTCCTGGGTGTTGGAAGCAGTGAAGGGGAAGAGAATTCACCTGCAACGAAAATGGGGGCTGTTGGGAGGTCTTGTGACAGCTCCAGCAGGTTGGCCCACTCATTACTCTTCTAGCTGAAGCGCGCGAAACTGCTCTGATAAAAAGACCTCCAGCAAAAGGCCAAGGCAAACGCGCGGGAAGCTCGGAGTTTTCCCGCCACTGCCGTGGGCGTGACTCTTGACGTCAAGACTCCGCCCATGCAAAAAATGAGGATAGGCGGGGTCGGCCTTTACCAAGATGGCAGCACGCATAGGACCGGAAGGAATTTGCAGATTCCGTCTTGACCCAGCCTCCGAGGTGGAGGTGGGACTGCTCTTTGGAATCTTACTCTTTCGGTATGCGCCCGCGCGACGAAATGACGTTGCGTGAGCACGCCCACTTAGATTCCTGAGTTCCTGACCCTTGCTGCGTCGGCAAACGTAGTGACGCGTGCAACCTGGACGATGGCGGACGCCGGCTTGCGCCGCGTGGTTCCTAGCGACTTGTATCCCCTGGTGCTCGGCTTCCTGCGTGATAACCAACTGTCAGAAGTGGCTAACAGGTTCGCCAAGGCGACAGGCGCTGTGAGTCCCGGGTTCAGGGTGCGGTCCGGGCTGGAACCACCACTAATCTCTAGGCCTTGACGTGTTTAGGGTTCTGGGGAGGGAGGTTTGTGGGGTCCGTTAGTTGAGTGCCTGCATAGCCTTTGTGCCGAGCTCTCGGTCGTGTCCCTTGGCGCCCCCTCTTTCACGAGGTCTGAGTAGATAGCGCTGTGACTTGTTACATTTGTCTGGTGAGCTGTACGGCGGCTGCCTTGTGGGACCGGCGTGGTCCAGGTCACGTGGGCTGGCGGAGTGCATCGAGGAGGGAGAGTCGTGTCCAAGGGTATTGGCGGCGCCTGGTTCTTTTTAGGCTGTTGGCTGAGGCAAAGTGTAAGTATTCCCAAGTTTCAGTTGCATTTATCCTTGACTTAAGGATGAGTGAAATTGCTTCAGAAATTAAACTTACTTAACTGCCATCGAGTAGATTCTGACTTATAATGACCCTATGGGACATAGTAGAACTGTACCTTTGGGTTTCCGAGGCTGTAAATGTTTATGGTAGCAGACAGCCTCATCTTTTTCTCTCAGAGCGGCTGGTGGGTTTGAACCATCGACCTTGTCATTAGCAGCCGAACGCTTAACGAGCTGTACCTTCAGGACTCCTTTCAGAAATAAAACTGGGAAATTTTGTTAATAAAGAAGAAAATAAACGAGAGTATGGTATACTGAACAGGAGGCTTGAGCATCATGGTCCTACCAAGCAGTAATCAAACAAAACTAGGTTTGAGTTTTACTCTAAGATACAGTCGGCTTGTTTCACATTAAGAGTATTATTTGTTGTTAGTGCCATCAAATCGGTTCTGACTCATAGAGACCCTGTATAGGGATTATAGGAGCAGTTAGTGGATTTGAACTGTCAACCTTGTGGTTTGCAGTCCAGTGCTGATCCTATAGGGCCACACCAGAAGTCCTAAGTATTATTACTTCTATCATGTCTGTTTTATAGAATTTTTGTGAATTTCAGTAAGGTGTTATATACAAAGTGTCAATCCCAGTGCATGATGTACTAGAAGCATTAATGCTCCAAACACATATAAGAGGTCCATGACCAGGAATATGATAGGTTTGGAATCCATCTCTATGAAAGCAGGCCCGACTATGGAGAAAAGCCCTGGGGAGAAGGGTAGAGTAGTAGTCTTCAACATGTATGGTAACGTGGCTAGGATGGTAGGTCTGTTCTTTGTAGCAGAATCATAGGCATTGAAAGATAATTAGATCAACCTCAGAGGGAATTTCCTTAAGCTGGGACAATCTATCATGTAAGCGAATAGAACTTTGAATGGACTGTTAAAGAGATGGGAGAGTGTATTTCCACAGTGGGTTGAAGCTTACAGAAATAGAATTTTTTGAAGAGGCAAATTCTTTTATCTTTTCAGTTCAGATACTAATCCTTTTACATGAATTAACTTTTATCCTATTAACAACTTGATGAGATGCTTAGTATTATTTACATTTTATAGAGAAGAAAGTTTCAAAGAGATTAAGTAATATGCCCAGGACTCTGGTGCTGTAGGATTAGAACTGGACTGCTAACCACAAGGTCAGTAATTCAAACCCACCAGCTACTCCTTGGGAACACTATACTGGATCTGTATGGTTGGAACTGACTCAAGGGCAGTAACAACATATAGTAATCATTCACTTTTCTCCTCATCTAACTGAGCCAGCACTCTTGTGTCCATGGTATGTGTGTCAATATTGTTATTATTATTAAGGACATTGGCAGTGCAGTGGTTAAGCATTTGGTTGGTCACTGAAATATTGACAGTGTGAATCTGCCAACTGCTCTGCAGAAGAAAGATGTGGCACTCTGCTTTGGTGAAAATTGCAGCGTTGAAAACCCTGTAGGGTCTGTTCTATCCTGTGGGCTGTTATGACTTGGAAGCTAGATAGATAGGTAGATTTTTTTTTTTTTTAATTAATATTATTAACAGCTGGATGCCATGATGGGGGTGGATGTATGGATGCTGGAAAAAAAGAGAGTTCTGCTTGCTGGGTAGATGAAGAAGCTTCAAAAAGCTCATGGAAAAGTGGAATTAAAAGATAATAGAATTTTACTATGAACTTTTTGAAGCCCCTCTGTAGCATAATAACAATTTTCTTTGGAGTCTTGTTTTCAGTGATTTAGTAGTACAAACCACATTGCAGGAAAGACACCCTCATATAAATGTTTGTGCACTTGTTTGATAGGTAAGGATAAATCCCAAGATAACACATTGCCTAGTATAAAGGGAATGCATGTTTGTTTTGTTTATTGTTGAGAATATACACAGCAAAACATGCCAAGTCAACAATGACATGTATTACATTCAAGTGGTGTGACCATTCTCACACTTTTATGTTGTTCCTCTATCATTAATGTAAAGGAGAGAGATGCATGTTTTGATAATTATCAATAAATAGGCAGGGGGTGGATGATGCCACAAACCACAGGAGTTAATCGAACTTTTTGGTATCAAAAATTGACAAATGTGCAAACAATGTTTTTTCCTAGTTTGTGCCAGTAGAAGTCTTAACAAGTTGTAATATTTACATCATATTTGGCTATTGGTTAGTGGGTAGTATTCCAAAAATGAATAATGCAACATACGGTCTCTGCTAGACTAGTCAGGATAACACTTCCTTACCTGGCTCTTTTTTTTTTCTACTACAGACTCATCAGGATGCCAATGCCTCTTCTCTCTTGGACATCTATAGTTTCTGGCTCAAGTAAGCCTTCCGTGTTCCACACTCTCTGTATACTTCCTTATATGATCTGGGCTTGTGTGTCTTGGTTTGGGAAGGACCTGGTCCTTCAGAAATTAGCATCATCTACTTCAGCAGGTCCACCAAGGCCCCAAAGCGGAAGTTACAGGCAAATGGGCCAGTAATTCAGAAGGCAAAGAAGACGACTTCGTCCAGTGACAGCAGCGAGGACAGCAGCGAGGAGGAGAAAACCCAAGTGCCTCCATCTAAGAAGACTGGTAAGGCAGGGCAGGGAGCTTGTGGTGGGGATTCTAGGAAAAAGATTTTGTAGCCTGTCTATACTACATGACTAACTCTTAACTATGTTCAGCGATATCTGCCAAGCAGGCCAGTCTGCCCCAGCATCCTGGAAAGGATGCAGCCAAAGCATCAGAGAGCAGCAGCAGTGAAGAATCCAGTGATGATGATGAGGAAGAGGACAGAAAGAAAAGGCCTGTCCAGGTGTGCAGCTTTGGGAATGGAACTGGGGGGATGCTTATAGAGTTTATTGCCTCTCTCATCTGCTTAGCTTTCTCTCTCTTGCTTCTCCACTGTACCCCTAAAAATAATAGGGGCCTTAGTCTTCTGGAATCCTGGTGTAGAATAAGCACTGGACCACAAGGTCAGTTTGAACCACAGGGTTGGTGGTTCAAACCCAACAGGCACTCCTTGGAAACCCTATGGTCACTATGAATCAGAACCGACTTGATGGCACTTTAGAACAACAGACAGCCTTTTATACTAAGATGCCCTTTGAGTAACCCAAAGCTTTTGCTGAGTCCCTTCCTTGTGCATTTTCTAACAGAAGGGCGCTAAGCCCCAAGCTAAGACAGCCACTGCCCCTCCCAAGAAAGCCGAGAGCTCTAGTTCTGATTCTGATTCTGATTCAAGCTCGGAGGATGAGGCACCAAAGAACCAGAAGCCAAAGACAACACCTGTGGCAACTAAAGCTCAGGCTAAAGCCCCAGCCAAACCAGGTACATCTTACCTTCCTAAGAGTTGGGTTGGGAGCAGGTTGCTGTGGGAACTGGTGTTAATTAGGTTCATTAGGTGTATGGGTGGAATGATACTAGTTGTTGATCTGGAGGTATTGATTAATGTCATCAAAAAATTTTTATTCACAGATAAGGTTTCATAAGCTGAGGCTAATAAATAGAAACAGTCACTGCAGCATAGAAAAATAGGATTCAAAAGAGAAAATGGTGTATACTCTTTGGCATTCTTTTAGTTATATTTCATAGACATTTTATGTTCCCACAACCTCTTTCCACTGGGACCACTTACACATCTGCTCTTAGTGCTTTTCAGTTCCATTTTTACTCCCCTTATGCCTTTATTTTCTAATTTTTCCTGTAAGAAGCTCTGATAGTGCTGTAGGTTAGATGTTGGGTTGCATCTAAGTCATTGGGTTAAAACCCCAGCAGCTTCTCTTGTAAAGATTTACAGTATGGGTATTCTACATAGGAGTTGGAATCGATTCAGTGACAGTGAGTTTTAGTTAATTTCTCCTGAGATGAGATCAGGTTATGATTTACAGAAGCTCCTCTGAATGGAAGCTGGCATGGAGGACTTAGAGGACGTACTTAAATTATTTGTATCCTGTCTGCCTTTTTCGATAGTTTTGTTCTTGAAATTAGAGAGGGAGTCATTCTCTTACACAGTAAGCCATGTCAGTCTCCTTCATGGCTGCTCCAAAGACAGGAGATCAATAGACTCTTTAGTTCTGAGCGCATAGGAAGAAGGGTTTTCATGCCCTCTGACTCGCCTTGTTATTCCTTACACACTCTTTATTTTGGAGCACGAACTCAAGTTGCACCTAAAGTAACCAATGGCAAAGCAGCTAGCAGCAGCAGCAGCAGCAGCAGTAGTAGTAGTGATGACTCAGAGGACGAGAAGGCAGCAGCTACCTCTAAGAAGGTCTGTACCATAACTTAACAAACAAGGGATACTGGGGTGGGAGTGCTCAACTCTGTTCCCTGGCAGGATTGGGTTGGGGGTCAGCATTTTACTGGGGTAATTGATTTTCTGTCTGATGCAGACTATACCTAAAAAGCAAATTGTGGCCAAGGCTCCAGTGAAAGCTACTGCTACCCCTGCCCAGAACAGTTCCAGCAGTGATGACTCCTCTAGTGAGGAGGAAGAGGAGCAGAAGAAACCCATAAAGAAAAAACCAGGTGACTGGACATGGGGAGTCATCCTGCATGACTGTGGCCAGGGCCCTATTGCCAGAGAACCTCCATGGTCACCATGTGGAATTCTCCATAGTGCTGCTGGGGAGTCTGCATGACATGACACTTGGCTTGTCCCAGAACAAGTGATCCAAAAAAAGAACAAAGTCACTGTGCCTTTTAGGCCCAGTCTTGAATCTACAGCCACTTCTGCCATTTTCTATGCATTAAAAGCGAGTCACTAATTCTAACCCATACTTCAGGGAAGGAGCTTTACCTCTAGAAGGAAGCAGTAGCAAAGAATCTGTGGATGTGTTTTTGTTTTTTTTAAGTTTTTATTATGAATTGAGTGATAGTTTACATGGGAGAACATCAGTTTTCTACACTTGTTTCATTGCAATGATTATAGTCTCTTCTGTGCGTCATCATTCAACAATATTTGCTTTTTTTCCTTCCGTCTGTGTTGTTTTTTGGATATACACAAAAACACTCCGGAATATATAATTTAAATAACCAAAGGACACATTCTGCAAGCCTGCCTCCTGGCTGCCAGCACACAGCCTTTCTCTTTTGTGGACGTTTTTTTGTTTTTTAATTTAAGGTTTTTATTGTGGATTGAGTGAAAATTTACAGGGCATATCATCAGTTTTACATTCAACAAATCATACATCTTGTTTCATTACATTGATTATAATCCATCCCCTCCATGTACCATCAGTTAACAGTATTTCTCTCTATCCACTTTAGCTTTTTAAAAACAAACCAAAAATTCACTCAGGCACATATAATAATTTACATCTCCAAAGGGCACATTCTGCAAGTCTGCCTCCTGGCCACCAGCTCTTAGTCTTGTGGATGTATTTTTAAATTACTACCCTGTTCTTTTAAACAGGTCCTTATAGTTCAGTCCCCCCGCCTTCTACTCCCCAACCAAAGAAGTCTCTGGGGACTCAGCCCCCCAAGAAAGCTGTAGAGAAGCAGCAGCCTGAGGAAAGCAGTGAGGACAGTAGCGATGAATCTGGTGAGTTGGAGAGGTGGGCCAGGGGGTGAGCAGTCAGGAAGGGAGTCAAGTTTTAGTCCTGTTGCTTTTTACTGAGGTGTAAGACAGTTAAGGCTCAGGATGTTGTCACGTCCTCCTTTCTGTTACTCTGTTAGCTCTCGGCCCAGTATAATGCTATAGATTCTCCCCAGATTCAAGTTCTGAAGAAGAGAAGAAATCCCCAGCTAAAGCAGTTACCTCTAAAGCAACCCCTAAGCCAGCTCCAGCCAAGAAAGCAGCCGAGAGTTCTTCAGACAGCTCAGGTAAGACAGGTGGAAGGCCTCAGCAGTGGGATACTCACTGGGTATATGTTACAAGGACCGCCAGAATCTGCTTTGGGAAGCTGTTTATTCTGCTTCCTCTTTGTCTAGACTCAGACAGCTCTGAGGACGAAGCTCCTGCAAAGCCAGTCAATGCCACCAAAAATCCTTCAAGTAAGCCAGCTGCCATTGCCAAACAGCCTGCAGCCAAGTCAGCTGCAGCTCCCAAGCAACCTGCAGGCAGTGGCCAGAAGCCTTTGTCTAGAAAGGCTGATAGCAGCTCCAGTGAAGAGAGCAGCTCCAGTGAGGAGGAAAAGAAGATGAAGAAAAGTGTGGCCACCCCTAAGGCCAAGGTGATGGCCAAAGCAGCTTCAACTCTGCCTGTCAAACAGGTCTCTCAGGGAGGTGGGGATAGCAGTTCTGACTCTGACAGCTCTAGCAGTGAGGAAGAGGAAGAGAAGACCTCTAAAGCCCCAGTTAAAAGGACGCTGCAGAAGGCGGCAGCAGCTGTCACCTCTTCCAAGCCAGCCTCCAAAAAGAAAGGAGAGGCGGAGAGCGATAGCAGTTCTTCCTCTGATGACTCCAGTGAGGAAGAGGAGGAAGAGAAGCCCAAGGGCAAGGGTCCTCCAAAATCACAAGGTCCCAAGGCCAATGGCACCTCTGTACTTACTGCCCAGAATGGAAAAGCAGGTGGAAACAAGAATGAGGAAGAGGATTCACTGGCAGTTTCCAAGCCAGGTCTGTATCCAAAAAACCTGCCGTTTTGAGTTTTGCTCCCCAAATCAAGATGGGATGTAGCCTTGAGGGCCGAGACAGGGAGAGGAAACCCACTAATAAACTGCCAGTTGTAGACCTTCAGTGTGGGAAACTGAGAGGAAGAGAGGAATCTGGCATGTTGAATCTAACTTTGTGTTTGTGTTGTTGGTTCAGGAAAGAAACGGAAGCAGAATGAGGCTGCCAAGGAGACAGAGACTCCCCAAGTCAAAAAGCCGAAGCTCCAGACCCCCAACACATTTCCAAAAAGGAAAAAAGTAAGTTGTCTCAGTTTCCTTTCAGGAGCCAGAAGTAGAAAGAAGCGTCTGAGTCTCATCTTGACAGCGCTCTAGTGGCCTGCCTGCACGTGTGTGGAGCTCAGAGGGCCCTCCTGTTTCATGCCCACTCTCTTTAATGTCCTACTTTATTCTTCAGAGTGAGAAAAGGGCATCATCCCCATTCCGGAGAGTCAGGGAAGAGGATATTGATGTGGATGCTCGAGTGGCAGACAACTCTTTTGATGCCAAGGTGAGGAGAGGGGCCTGTTGTTTACTCTGAAGGGGGCATCCAGTGGAAGAGGGGAGCAGGAAATAGAAAAAGAAGAAAGCAACGGGGTCCTGACATTGAGCTTCTTCTTCGTGGTGACCATGTCTTCTCTACCTACCAGCGAGGTGCAGCTGGAGACTGGGGAGAACGAGCCAATCAGGTGCTGAAGTTCACCAAAGGCAAATCCTTCCGGCATGAGAAAACTAAGAAGAAGCGGGGCAGCTACCGGGGAGGTGCCATCTCTGTCCAGGTCAATTCCATTAAGTTTGACAGTGAGTGATGGGCTACCTGGTGAAGTAAGGATGATGCTCCAGGATAACTCACTTTCCACAATGGACCTGGAACCCTCAAATCTCTTCAGGGAAGGTCTCCGTGAAGACGGCAGCTTAGAGTAGATAGTGAAACTTGGCAACACAACATTTCTCTCTGGTCCTTTTCTGTGTTCCTAGTTTTGTACAGATTTGATTTTGAGTATTGAGTAGCAGGGACTTGCTAAAAGAGAGTGTTAATTTTTAAGGACATTTGTTTGATTGTCATCGCATTATGCCTCTTATATGGAGGTCCTGATATTGGGACATGTGTATTTTATATTAAATCACTTCCTATTGATTTTTGTGGTAATTTTCGGAGGTGGGTTCTCACAGATTCAGTTTTGACAATTGCCCAGTACATAATAAAAGTTGTGTCTATGGATTTTTATAATTACTTGAAGGAGAGTTCTGTCTGTATGGTTCACTTTTCTTCCCTCCTACTCCTCACAATCATGGTGAGGACTAGTTTAAGAATGGTTTGGTTACATGTGTCTGTCAAGAATTCACTGTGTAATTCGTTTTCTTTCATTGTGCCTGGGACAAAATTCACTTTTGTTACAGACAGAGTTCTGGTGTCTGACTTCTGTACTTCAATCTGAATATTTTGTTGCCTGTAATTTTGTCACGATTACATAATGTTTATAGTACGGACTTTAAAAAAAACACAATTCTATTGTCGAAGCACATTAGTTCATAAATGTTATGATTTAGATCTCCAGTTTCCAGAGAAGCTTGTAAAACGTTGAGGACTCATTTTCTCTCTTTTCTTTTTAACATTTAAAGAACAAAATAACCATAATTTATTGTGAAAGATACATATCACTTGGTGTTTGTGTCTTGGCAGTAGTTGTGACTACAAATTGGTTTTATTAACTCTGAAATTGTTGGGGACCACTGAGTGGGGGCAACCCAACTATCTTTAATTAAAAATCTCAATCCCCAGTAGAAATTACATTATATTAGGTGAGTTTATAAGTAACCTTTGTATGTGTTAATGGAAATGGAAACTACTTTTATAAAATATATTAGTTGGTAAGACTTAAGTATAATTGGGTTTGAAGATGGGATTATTGTAGCTGGTAGTTGTAAATCATAAAAGCCATTGCTGTTAAATTGAATTCCAACTCTTTAGGACAGAGTAGAACTAACTGCCCCATGAGATTTTCAAGCCTTTAAGTCGTAATTAACAGAGGCATACTGCCATGTCTTTGGAGGAGTGGTTGGTGGGTTCAGACCACCCACCTTTCTGGTTAGCCACTGTACCCCACTGGGTCTCTTGGTAATTGCTACACAGAAGCAATTGACATGCCCCCTTACGATCTTAAAATGTCAGTAATATTGAGCTTAATGATAAAAACCATTGAACAGAGGTAATGACACCTAGGGTGAGTTGTTTAAATGTAAAACTGTTGGTAATGCTGAGTCAGCAAATGGCTGGGCTAACCCTGTGGGACAAGCTATCATGGATGAGATACAGGTTTTTGGATTAGCCTTCCATGCTCACTAACTTAATGATGATCTGGTTGTTCCTGTAAGTGCTAACACTTAAGTGCTCACATGGCTGTCACAGACTGCATGGTGAAAGTTAAATGTTTTGTTATAAAATAAACTAGCTGGTTTATAATGTGTCTTTGGGAGTATTATTAGAAGTGAGCCCACATCCTTCCTGCTTCCCACCCAAACCGGAGCAACTCAGGTGCCATTTTGAGGACTAAGGTCCAGACCTGGAGAGTTCACTGCAGAGGCATCTGGGCAGCAACTTGCTGGTTCTTCTTGGGTGCATCTTGTGTGTCATGTCTTTTAGGCAGTATTCCACCCATACATAGTCTAAACTGGGGGTTGGCCCACGGCTTGTTTTTTCATCTTGCCTAGGAGCAATATTGCCTCAGAATGGACTAATATGATAAACCAACATCATGATAAACAGAAGAAATACTGAAGTTATCAAATCTGCAATCAATGCACGTGGAAGTTAAGTGCCATCAAGTTGGTTCTGACTCAGTGACCCTGTCTGTATAGGGTTTCCAAAGAGCAGTTGGTGAGCTTGAACCGTCAATTTTTCAGTTCAATGCATTAACCCACAGTGTCACATCAGGAATCATGGGGAAGTAGCAGTCAAGAAATTAAACGATGTATTACATTAGTAGGCAAACTGACAAAAGGCCTCTTTAAAGTGTTAAAGATCAAAGCTGTCACTTAGAGGACTAAGGTGCGGCTGAACCACGCCATTGTCTTTTCTTTTTGTTGCTGTTCATTTGTCTGCCATCTTAAAAAGTTGATTTTTATTTTTTTAGCTCATTTATTGTGAATTAAGTAAAGGCTTACAAAGCAGATCATCAGTTTTACATTTAATAAATCATACTAAGTTTTTTTTATGTTTGTAATCCCCTCCAAATACCATTAGTTAACAGTATTTACCTTTATTCACTTTACTCTTGCGTTCCTCTCTGTGTCTTCTGCTGCCTTCATCTTTATGTATATTTTCTTAATCAAGAAAATCATAGCCATGGTATTTTCAGTTGCCTCATTTGCATGCAAAAGCTGGACAATGAATAAGCAAGACTATAAGAAACAGTGCATTTGATTCATGGTGTTGGAGTAGAATATTGAAAGTACCATGGACTCCCAGAAGAACAAATTGGTCTTGAAAGTGCAGCCAAAATGCTCTTTAAAGCAAGGATGGTAAGATTTTACCTTATACTTTGGACATGTTATCAGAGGGATTATTAGTTCCTGGAAAAGGACATCATGTTTGGCAAAGTTGAGGATCAGGAAAAAGGAAGACCCCCAAGGAGATGGATTGACAGTGGCTAAAATGGTGGGCTCAGATGACCATTGTGAGGACGGCTCAGGTCAGCAGTTTTGCATGTTTAGTACTGTCAAGTTGGGTCCAACCCATAAGTTACTCTATAGGTTACTGAGTAGTGGCTGGTGAGCTTAAACTGTTGACCTTGCAGTTTGCAGTACAAATTGACTTTGCAGTCCAGCGCATTAACCCCTAGCTCGGCAGCAAGACTCCCTGTTGTGCATAGGGTTGCTGTAAGTTAGGATCAACTCATGGGGACTTAACAATAGGAACTAAGAATGATTTTTACATTTTTAAAATACTTAGAGGAAAAAGTGTGACAGAGACCACATGTGACCTACAAAGCGGAAAGTTGCTATCTGACTCTTTACTGAAAAAAGTTTGTTATCCTCTGGTCTATACTGGAATGCCAATAATTCTTATGTTATTCTTCTTTATGTTATCCAACATGAATCTTAGGCCTTCTTCAGATTTTTTTATCCTTTTTTCTATCTTTGTAGTGTTGAGCTCTGGTAGCGTAGTGGTTATGAATCAGGCTGCGAACCTTAAGGTCAGCGGTTCGAAACTACCAGCCACTCCACGGGAGAAAGATGAGGCTTTCTACTCCCAAGAAGATTTACATCCTCGGAAACCCTGTACAGGGTCACTATGGGTCGGAACCGACTCGAAGGCACTTAACAACAACAGTAGTGTTGAGAGATTTATCTTCTAGCTCACTAGTTCTAGCTTCTATCTTTTCAATTCTACTCCTTTGCCCTTTCAATGTATGTCCATTTCTGATATTCAATTATTAATCATTTGGACCTCTTTCTGTAGGTTTTGAATTGTTTCCAGTGCTCTAGCTATCTTATTTGATTGTTCCTGTAGCACTTTCTTGACTTCTTCATTATTTTTCTCAATTGCATTGCATAGTGTTTTGATACCTTTTATAATCATTTTTCTGAATTCCTTCTCAGGCATTTCCAAAGCCTGCCCATCTTCTAGTATGGAGTGTAGGTCTACTTACAGCTCATTTGCCTCAGTCACTTTATCTCGTGTCTAGACATGTGCAGATATGGTCATCTGCTTCTGTTTTTTGGACATCTTCAGGGGTTATGTGGACTTATTACTTAGATGGGTATGTCTTTTCGTATTTTTTATGCTTTCTGAATGCCTCCTGGTAGATGTGATCAGGAAATGGGCTTCCCTTTTCACTCTTCTTCCTGAGAAGTTTCAAGTTACCACTGTTGGTTGTTTTGACATAACTTAGGATTTAATTTTCAGCCTATTTCCTCTTTTGTCTGCTTGTCACACTCCACAATCCCCGTTCAGGCCTTTTTTCTAGTTGGAATCAGTTCAGGGCCGGCTGTGGCTGTTTGGTTCTAATTGGAAACTGTCTCTTTAAATTTCGAGGAGATTTGTGCAAATGCGTGGTAGAACGCTCCGAGGGTGGGGCTGGGGTGCCCACTAGCTCAGGCACCCCATAGTCACCAGAATGGAGATGCGCAGACAACAAGGGACCAATGAACAGATACCCAAAGAAAAGAATGTCCACACCTTTATCTCAGCGGTTCTTCCGGGCGTCTGTGGCCGCTCCGATCCTTCCCCCGCGTGGTCTCACCCAAGATGGCGGCTCCTGGAGCAGCTGAGCGTCCGGGACTAGAAAACAATAGATTTCTTGCTTCTGCCACAAATTCCCCCAGCTGTAAGCCTTCCAACCTTATAAATATTCCTTTATATGTGGTTCAGAGTTCTGGGACCAGCCCCTGAGCCTGCTTGGTCGGGTATTCTGTGTTGTTGTTAGCAGAGCTCCTTTACTGCACTTCCACCCGATCTGCCATCTTGTTTGTTCCCTATCCTCTGGTCTAAATGAAAAAAAGATTCCCAGGGGTCCATCCCCAGACCAATTGAGTTGTGTTCTCTGATGCTGCCTGGGTGGTGGTGGTACGTACCGGGGTCTGTTCCGACTCATAGTGACCCTGCACAGGGTTTCCAAGCCTGTAAATCTTTATGGAAGCAGAACGCCTCATCTTTCTTCCGCGGAGCCGACCTTGAGGTTGGCAGCCTGACTTTAGGTTGGCACTGCACTACCAGAGCTCCTTAAAGCTGACATGATTCTAAGAGCAACTGGTGTTAAAAACCACTAATCAAAAGAAAATTTGAGAAGAAATGGTTTTCTTTCTG